ATCGGGCGCAGCTTCGGTCGGAGGGCACCAAGGGAGCAGAGGCTCTGGCTTCAAAAAATAGGCACCGATCTCCAAGCAGGAACCGGGAGGCCAGTCGGCGTCGCTCCAGGAGTCGTGACCGCTTCGGGAGCCATGACCGCTCTGGGAGCCGAGGCCGATCCGAGGGTCGGCAGTGGGCACCGCTCTAGCAGTAGGCACCGCAGGTCTCCTAGTCGAACCTCATCGCTCGAGTCAGGGTGGCAGCTGCAAGACAGCAAAAAGAGAAGCCGCAGGTGTAGACCGCCTCCACTTCCGNCGCTCGAGTCAGGGTGGCAGCTGCAATACAGCAAGAAGAGAAGCCGCAGGTGTAGACCGCCTCCACTTCCGTCCTCCGGTCAGCCGGGAGCCCTTGACGACCACCATCGAGCTGGTCTAGGTGGGTCGGGAGTCAAGTGGTATCTCCGGTACCTGGAGCAGGGGAAGAAGCCGAGCGTAGCCCGCGCAATGGCGGAAGTAAGACAAGAGGTGGAGAAAGAGGCACAAGAGAGTGGTAAGACGGCTGCAACCGCTGGTATGCAGCAGAGAGGTGAACTACCCGCGCCTGCTGAAAAGCAGAGAAGCGGGCAACAGCATCAGAGACCCGCGCCTGCTGAAAAGCAGAGAAGCGGGCAACAGCAGCAGAGACCCGCGCCCGCCAAATGGCGGAGAAGCGGGGAACCTACAGGTACCACAACAGGCTCAACAACAGCTACTCCAAAACGCACCAGCCTACAGGTCACACCACCTGAGCCACCGTCCCCCAAACGGCCGCGGGGGCTCCCACCCCCTCCAACAGAGCCTAGGGGCTTGGATGGGTCCGCGGGCCAGGGTCAGCCACAGGAGGGAATCAGTAAGCAGCCTAGCTATTCGGATGCTCTTAAAGGCATTCGGGTGGCTGTACTGCCCTGTGATTACCCTGCTGCTGCCCTAAGCCCTGAGGACCTGACCAAACTCCAGGACGCCATCATGGATGAGGTCCTTAAAGGGTGGAAGCACGCACTGGTCTTTTGTGGGGTATTTTTCAGGTCAGGTATGCTCCTTGTGGACTGCAAGGATGAGCGGACCGCAGCATGGCTGGTGGATAAGGCACCAAACATTGAGGGATGGGAGGGGCCCGCGTTATGTACCAAGAGGGGGGATGATATCCCGCCGGTGCATAATATCTCGGTGTTCTTCCCAAGATGCGCCGATAAATCGGCGGAGTACGTGCTGGGGCTCATCAAGGCCCAGAATGAGGACATCCACACTGCTGCGTGGAAGGTGGTTTCATGCGGCGCCGAAGATAACGGTCTCAGGCTCAACCTGGGGATCGATGAGGCGTCGTATGTCAGCATCAAGAGGGCCGTATTCACAATCAACTTCCGTTATAGTTATGTTACGGTGCGGCCATGGCGGCATAAGACGACAGGCAGCAAGGAGTCAGAGTCTCAAGACATGCAAGTCGACGAGGCTACTGACTCCACTGCTGCCCCAGCGAACGAGTCGACCACGGCCCCACTGGAAGATCAGCTACCGGAATTAGCACAGGCACCAGCTCTTGTGAGTGCTCCCGGGCCAAGTGCCACTGACTACGTGCGCACCACACAGGAGCTCCTAGCGGACATAGGCAGGCTCGAACTCGACAGAGAGGGCGAGGGTGAGGCACGGCTCTCGAACATCGAGGACGAGCCCCAACTATGAGCCCAACAGCGCTAACAGTAGCCCAGGTCAACTTGCATCATGCGGTGGCCGCCTCGGCGATCATTGCAAGCAGGTTTGCCACGGAGGACCTGGGAATCCTACTGATACAGGAACCGTGGACCTACAGAGGCCAGGTGAGGGGCCTCAATCATAACAACAATAAGGTAATTTGGGACCTTTCCTGCGAGAGGCCCAGAGCGTGCGAAGTGCTAAAGAATAATATTAATTACTTTTGCATTACAGAATTTCTTACACAGGATCTGGGCGCGGTCCAAGCTACCTTAAGGGTCAACGGGAAGGAACTGGAGGTGGTCTTAGCTGCAGCCTACTTTCCGGGGGATAACGCCAACGTGCCGCCTCTTGAGGTACAGCAGCTGCTGGAATTTTGCCGCAGGAAACGACTTCCGGCGATTCTCGGCTGCGATGCGAAAGCCCACAATATAGAGTGGGGCAGCTCGGACATAAACCGTAGGGGTGAGTGCTTATTAGAATATATTATCAGTGAAGACCTGTGCATCCATAATGTCGGTAAAGAACCAACGTTCATAACTAGGGTCAGAGAGGAGGTACTTGACATCACTCTCAGCAACAGACTGGCCAGTCCTCTGATCGTTCAGTGGCGGGTCTCATTTGAGCCCTCACTGTCGGATCACAGGATTATCCGATTTGCACTGGGAGCTGAGGCTCTGACAGGTCACCCAAAGAGGAACCCCAGGAAAACAGACTGGGATAAATACGAAGAGGTACTTAGGTTGAACCTAAGCAGAATAGAGGCACAACATAGAAAGGTGGATTGTATGGAGTTAGAGGACAGGGTCAACAAGCTGAACGGCACTATTCTGGATGCCTTTACCTCCAGCTGTCCCGTGTCAAAGCCAAAGGGGAAAGCTCAGCCTCCCTGGTGGACACGGGAACTCTCAGTTCTTAGGAAAGATGTGCGAAGACTTTTCAACAGGGCAAAGCGCACCGGGAACTGGGAGGAGTACTCAGTCTGTCTAACAAAATACAATAAGGAGATTAGGAAGGCCAAGCGTAGCAGCTTCAGAACCTTTTGTGAGAACATCGCATCTACTCCTGCAGCTGCTAGGCTGCATAAAGCATTAGCGAGAGACAACACAGGGACCAGACTGGCTATTAGGCTACCTAATGGGGCCTTTTCAGGTAATGAACAGGAAAGGGCACGCGCCCTGCTATCGGCCCACTTTCCGGACGCCATTCCCACCGCTGGGGATACGTTGTTCCGTGCGTTCAGGCCATCCCCACCGGACTGGAAGTTGGCTAGAAGCCTTATAAACCGGCAAACAGTGCGGTGGGCTCTGGACTCCTTCGAACGGTACAAGGCCCCTGGGGTGGATGGTGTATGTCCGGCGTTGCTAAAGCAGGGCGGGGAGCTCTTACTTCCACATCTTGTGGACATTATGAGGGACAGTCTAGCACTGGCTCACATTCCCAAGGTGTGGCAAAGGGCCAGGGTTATTTTTATCCCGAAGGTAGGTAGGAGGGATTACTCTCTTGCCAAGTCATTCAGGCCGATAAGTCGCACATCCTTTATGTTAAAGGCAATGGAGAAAATTATTGACCATGAAATCAGGTATAACACTCTAAAACAAACCCCTCTGCATTCCAACCAGCACGCGTACAGGGTGGGGAGATCCACGGATACTGCGCTGTATGCCTTAACGGAGGAAATACAAGGGGCCTTTGAGTGTGATGAGGTGGTGCTCTGTGCCTTCCTCGATATCGAGGGGGCCTTCGATAACGCCTCCCATTTGGGAGTCGACAGAGCTCTTGGGAAACATAACGTTCAGCCAACCATCCGAAGATGGATAGCAAGGTTACTTCAGACCAGGATTGCCGAAACTGAAGTCGGTGACAGCGTCGTTCAAATACAAACGACGAAAGGGTGCCCACAAGGGGGGGTATTATCTCCTCTACTGTGGAGCTTAGTTGTGGACGAACTCCTACAGATACTTACGCTGCCAAGGGTACGCGGACGACATAGTGATTATCGCTAGAGGGAAGTTCGAAAGTA